TTGGCATGCGAAGTATTTACCGACGAATGAGAAGTTTTGGCTTGTTTTCATACCGGCCACACTGGGTCCTTCCTTTAACTTGAGAACACCGACGTAATCGCCTTGAGTGGTGCAGACAACGGTCACTCTGGGATCAGGAATGGAACAGTATTGTCTTTAGTGACGAGTCTCGATTTTGTTTAGGCATGCACGATGGTCGTGCCAGGGTTAGAAGGCGACGTGGTGAAAAGAGGAATCCACAGTTTTTTGTTGAAAGACATGTTCATCACACTGTTGGAGTTATGGTTTGGGGTGCTATAGCTTATGGTTCCAGGTCACTTTTCATCTTCATCAGAGGTAACATGAATGCGCAGCGTTATATCCACGAAGTTCTAGAACCCCATCTTTTACCCTATCTTGACACCCTGGCAGATCCAACTTTCCAACAAGATATTGCCCGACCACATGTTGCAAGAGTCACAATAGACTTCTTTCAACATAATGATGTCACATTGTTACCATGGCCACCAAGATCTCCCGACTTATCCCCAATTGAGCACGTGTGGGATATGATGGGTAGGAGATTGCTCAATTTGCAACGTCCTCCTCAGACTCTAGAAGCACTTCGAGAGGAGTTGGTGGTTGCCTGGAATGAGATACCACAGGAGGACATTGGCCACCTGATCAGAAGCATGCCTAGGCGCGTTGGAGAATGCGTAGCACATCAGGGTGCATCCACACATTATTAAAGGTCAAAGGGCTTTAAAGCAGTGCAATCATTTTGAAATTTTTATCATTTACTTATTATGCTTCATTAAGTACTTATACAAAATTTTATTAAAATAAAACCATTTAAACTGGGTGTTCGGATTTATATGTCACTTAGTATATTTTAGTATTATATATACTAGTATACATATACTTAATTTAGACTTGTTTTATATATTTCCAAATACTGGTTGAGTAGATTGGCCAATGGCTAGACTCCTCCATTTGCATCATACTTGTTGTTGTTATGCTGTGATGTTAATGATGCAATAAAGACATATATTATTATTATTATTATTATTATTATTATTATTATGAATAGCCTTTCATTTTTTTCAGTTTCTTGACATGTCCTTATACTTTACTAGTAGATAAAAATTGTGAATTGGTTCTACCTTTTTCTATTGCTGTTTGCTACGCCTTCGTCAACCAGAGGGGCAATATGTGACCACAAAGTATGTACTCCGCATGCCAAATATATTTATTCTTATTTTCTTATGTAACATGATAACTGTATCTAAATATGAACCACACTTTTCAGTAACAAGCTATTAATTATCTCGAAACTGGTTGGGTTTAAATTGGCTACGAAAACAGTTTTGTTTCCTTCTATGACGTTAATGTCAATCAGCATCATTGCATTAATATCTTAATAAAAGATTGACAAGTGTGTCAAACCACTAGACTGTTTTCTGACCCAATTTATTTTGCAAAATGCTGCTTCAAAGTAAATTGTAATATTATCAATTAAGCCTAATTAATGACTTGTTAACCTAACTTCTTGAATATATTTTACGTTATAGTCTCGCCACTATTTAAAAGTATCAGAGACTGATCTCATTTCATTTTATTCGTCCTATTAGTGTATTAATTTGAATTGCCATTTATGTCATATGTATATAGGCTGTTCGAATCATTAAATGTAATTTTCACTTCTAACACCATTTGCTGATGAAGTGTTATAATCGCGCAAATTTTCAAATCTAGTGACGTTTTTTGAAGTCTACGTCTGCTGGATTGCCTCTCTGAGATAGTCCTGTCATCTAAGAGACGAAAATGCTTTGTTGGTTTTGAAAAATAATCCAGTCGCAAGTTATCAGCAAAAAATACAAAATCCCAAAACGTTCCCAAACCCATTTTTCGAGATCACTAAATGTTCGTGTAGTTTAGATTAAAATAGTTCTAAATTAATGCATGCAGTGTTAGAAACCTTATCTACTAGATCCCACTTCTGATGCAGCTATACAAAAAATTATACTCGTAGTGCAAGCTATTGCTGATTTGCTCCCCGAATACTTAGCATTTCGACCCCTTGACAGGACGACCCTACTGGTGCGACATCTCTCGCCACTATTTAAAAGTATCAGCGACTGATCTCATTTCATTTTATACGTCCTATTAGTGTATTAATTTGAATTGCCATTTATGTCATATGTATATAGGCTGCTCGATTCATTAAATGTAATTTTCACTTCTAACACCATTTGCTGATGAAGTGTTATAATCGCGCAAGTTTTCAAATCTAGTAATGTTTTTTGAAGTCTACGTTTGCTGGATTGCCTGTCTGAGATATTACTGTCATCTCAGAGACAAAAATGCTTTGTTGGTTTTGAAAAATAATCCAGTCGCAAGTTATCAGCAAAAAATACAAAATCACAAAACGTTCCCAAACCCATTTTTCGAAATCCTCATAATTTTCGGGAGAAGAGATTCAAATAATTTGAAATCAGCAATTTCTAGCCATTTTCCAGTATCACTAAATGTTCGTGTAGTTTAGATTAAAATAGTTCTAAATTAATGCATTCAGTATTAGAAACCTTATCTACTTGATCCCACTTCTGATGCAGCTCTACAAAAAATTATACTCGTAGTGCAAGCTATTGCTGATTTGCCCCCGAATAATTAGCATTTCGACCCCTTGACCATACTGGTGCGACATCTTTCTGTGCAAATCGCAGAACGTCGAGCAGTTATGAGCCAGAGACGTAGGGGTCTTCCATTATCTTCATCGTATGTGATGAGGATAAGAATCAGCTTGACAGACATTTTTATGGTCCACATTCCAACACCATCAGTTACCAAAATGTCGCTTTTTCATAATGTTTATTCTATTTAAGAAGGGAATTTTAGCCATTCTAGGGTATTAAAAATACAGATCTGGTCTTAATCTCCGGCAGCTGAACGACTGAAGATTATTGATATTAATCAGTAATTTGGTTTCAGAAGCTGTAATTTGATTACTATCAGATAAAAAAATAGTATTGATCTTTAAACACCTCCGAATGAACTCATAGCATAAAGCTGTAGTATGACTATGCTATGTTTATATAAAGTTGATGACAAAACAAAAAAATGAAAAACATATTGCTGGGAACCCACATAAACTTTCGCAAATGAAACGTAAAATACCATCTATGGTGGATTGTTTGTAACAGCATTCATTTTAAAAAACATTTTGCATTAATTTCGCAAAACTAATTTGGTGTCATCGTCTAATAAGACGACCTTTATGGCGTGATCACACCTACTCGCAACATTGCGTTGAATTTTCAAGAAAGTTATGAGGTAATCTTGACATTTACGTACTTTGCCAATTTTTGGTAGTGAAATTGATGATGATACTATAGTATATTTTAGCGTGAAAGTTGCAGTTGAAAATTTCAAATTCGCGCCTGGGCGCCATTTTCGGACTCTTTTTTAAATAAAATGGGGGCCCGTGTGATAACGTGATTTGAAGCTCCTCATGAAGAATATATAACCCTAGAATATAGAATAACTATCTTTCAAAATGGCGGACTGGCATCCAAGTGCCCCCGAACCCTCCCGTTTGGTTAGTCAAACCTCGTGTTTGATAAAAATATTTACTGTAAATATGATCTCATACTAAAATTGTGGACATTGTCGATGAGTCAACGATTTTGTAACTAAGTGACATCACCAGAAACTCCAAGCTGTAAGTACTATAACTGACAACACATAGAAGTGTTTGTACCTTTTGCTCTATTGACTTATGCAAATAAAAACAATGTTCACATGTTGTGACTTCGTGAGTCACGGCAGATACAAATACAGATCGAAGTGTTTTGCATAATATTTACTCGTAACCTACCTCATCCATATTTAATGTGCTCTTCATAAAGATGTAGCATCGTATTTCAATGTCAATATCTAAACAGATTGGCAGTTGAAAATTGAGACTATTGCGCAATCAGAAAAAATGAGTGGGTTGGTATATCAATTGTTGTTTATGCTTCTGGCAAGCATCTGGTATTATTTTAGGCAACTGTTTTGTGTGTTCCATCAAATTGGTGACACAAGTATAACAAAAGAAAAATCCCACAATCACAAGAAAATATGTTTATTTGTCAAGCACAGCATGAGACAAAGTTAAATGAAACTCTTGCGCGGCACCTGAAAGGAAAGGAAGTAGATAACTGATGTTATCCTCATTTGTAGCTTTAACTAAAGTTGTTGTTTTTGTGGATGAATTGAAAGCGACAGAATAAAGTAGCGAAATCCGTGGAAAAATTTGTATAAGCGCGTTTTTATACTGAAAACTATGGAGTCTCTCAACTTGATAGCGGTTAGCAGATAGTCTGAAAAGAGCATGTCGGCTTTCCGTCTCCTGTAACTATGACCAAGCACAGACACAGCTGTTTCGTGCTCATTAGCAGCTCGTCGGTGCGGTATAGGTCTTAGGTCTACCCATGGAGACATACGAAACATTGTCCACAAGTAGATGGAAATCTCACGATCGCCACCTACGCAGGCCCAAAGTTTTTAAAAGATGCACACTTTTGGAAACTCATGATGCATTTCCCTGAAACAGCCCTGGATGTAACATGCTGATGGCAATATTAGCAATCAAAACTGAAAATCCAGAATAAAAGGGTTTGATAAAAACGTTGATTAAACCGCATTGAAATTAAGCGTCACAGGATTTTCTTAATACTAAAGTAGTTACATTTTGTGATTTTCAGATGTGCGAGTTGTCGAATAATCCGCAGTGGATGCGTCTTATATATGGCGTTGTGGACGCAAGACCATACATTTTACAAAGCAAAAACTTATCGGAGTGTGATGTGGACCAGTGGATTTGAAGCCAAATAAACATAACATTGTCCTACGCATTAAGACGCCTTACTCTTCTCTGAATAGACACAATTTTTCGTTGTTCGTTTCAAATAACTTGTGATTCTTATTAAACCTTGTCTCATGCTGCGTTTTGGAATCTTTTCCACCATTCCTCTCACCTATATCCATAGTGATTCAGAGCCGGCATCGACTCCCTTCTGGGCCCCATAGTGTTACTCCCAAAATACCCAGCCGGCTGTTGACTTCTAAGGGAGGCAACACACCCCAGCGAGTCCCTACGACCCCCAGCGTGCAGGGCGTTTCCCAGGGACCCTCTGCGGCCCTGCTGATGACCTTTGGTGCCGTGCACGTCGCAGTTTTTGCTTACTTTGCTGTCCACCTCTATCTGGATGTCGGGCTTGGTGTCTATGGAGATGTTGTCGTTGAAGAGGGCTTCCAGACGTCGCATAGCCGCAGCGTGGTTCAATGTGATTGTTGACATTATGCTAGATAGGTAGTTGAAGAAAGTCAGAGCGGTGTTGCAGAAGTGATATTCACATTGCATGAGCGCCACGTGGCGTGTTCGATGTGGATGTAACTGATTGCAGATAGAGACAGGGGTTCGTCTGAGGTTTATAGAAAGTGGGGAGGTGAGATCCTGTCTAGATCTAAGAAGTATAAGAAGGAACGAATGAGTTCCTGGTAAAGTTGCACCATCGATCATAACCAAATGTGTATTTGGGTAATTCTTGTTAGTTAAGGTACAGTACTGGGTTTTATATTCCAAACCAACCAAAAACAGGCCCTTAATCAATCAGAAAGAAAGTCTTCTTCTCTGCAAAACCAGTACAGATGCAGCTTAACACTCTGAATCGCTGCATGGTCCGCAAGGGTATGGATAGTTTATGAGTTAGAGATTATATTAGAGCTAAAGCCGATCCTTGCGGGATACCACACCACTACATGGTGAGACTGAGAGGAGAAGCCTTCTATCCCGATGGATACATAAGGAGTTTCAGAGGAACGTGGCCAGATTTCTAGAGTAGAATGTACATTCAAAAACAACAAAAGAAATCGCCTAAACAAAGGCACTCAAGATACAGGATGTTGTAAATTTATAGGCCGAATAAGGACAAAACGTGAAGATTGTTCAAATAACGCTACGCCGAGTTAGGATTACTTTGCTTATACGCAACAATTTCAAACTTTTCAAAGTAGAAAGGTTAGAAGTGTGTTATACCGATTTCACCTCAAACATTCAAGCCCATTTTTCTCCGAAAGGAGTAGTCTGATAAGAGCTTCTCAAGAAAGGCGATTCATGTAAATTTGAATATCATTCAAAAATTCAATAGATTTTTCAAAAAAAATAACTCTGGGTAGAGAATAATTTTCTGTTCTCTTCTGTAGACAGCAAAATTTCCAAATTTCTCTGCCACTTGGCACGTACATTTTTGTATGTACTGGTCAGGATATCAGTACTAAATGCACAGAATTTCAAGTCAATAATTTAATCCACTCGGAAAATATGTTTTTCTCGATTTCGATACCATAATTTCAACACCCTGAATCTCGATTTTATGAACTCTTTGTGTTATTTTTTATGTACCGTATGTTCTAGAAATATTGCAAAGTTTCTCTGGAATACCCCATATATGTTACAATCGGAAATCAGTCACCCAACTACAAATCCTACTTAAGAAGTCGTAGTGCGAAAGTTTGTTGCCACAGGTAATAGAAAGCCTTCTAAAAGCAACTACTTGTACCTCACCAAACGACTTAATGAGCTTGTTCCTCTATTTTAAGCTAGAACAGATGCTTGTCGCTTATTAAGCGGTTATGTTCAAAGCACTTCAATATTGAAGCATTTCTCCATCTATAGCTCTGATGACAGATACCAGAGCTATAGATCTGTGGTTATTAGAATTGGTGCCAATCTTTTTCTTCAACAAGCTTCAAGCGACGTCAAAGGACGGGAACAAGATTCAGTGTACTTCTTTTTAAAATATCGTGTCAGGACCAGCACATGCCTGAACGTCTTATCCGAAGGTAATTTACCTCCCGTGTGCCTTGAAATAGCGCTACTTCATATAGCTAGCAATCTATTCCTGTTTGTTCTTCTTTGAATCTAATGGAATCGCTGTGGGAAACCTCTTTTTTCTTTTTGCTGACAAGCGCTCAGATCAGAACTGCCTTAACGCACGGATACCCTTTTTGTCATACACATGTTATCCGCTGTAAATACATGTTCTGTCTCGATGCAGCCGTACTTTCAGTTAAAACAAAACCAACACTTCATCAACAAATAGCGATAGCGCTAATGCAAATGTGAATAACACGGTCACAGTGACGCCTTTGGAACGTCGTCTTTTTGTTTCTACGATGGTTAAGTTTACAGACTATTAATAGTTGGGTCGCTCGGAGAACAGATGCTTTTCTAACGATGGATAGTTTCGACAAGGTGGTTGTCCCATCCAAAATATGAAAGGATCCTGTAATTTTTTTATTGCTTAAAATTTACGCACGATGGTCCTGTACCTAGACTACCTCAGCCATTGGAGTATGAAGAGAAATCCATATATCACTGACATCGAAATGTGTACGATAGAGAAGCGAGAGAAGCATGCAATGCGAATGTTAGAAAGAAATAGAAGTACCACGTTGCCTAGCAAGCGCAGTGACGAAGCCACGAACGCACTGTTTCTAACGTATTGCTCGCTTTTCGCGATTCTTCTCACATTGCCCCGTCAGAGATATTTGGATTTCTTTGTATGTCTGACCCAATACAATCTGTACTCCTGAGACAGGAATTCGTTATATATATATATATATATATATATATATATATTTATATATATATATATATATATATATATGTATATATGAATATTTCTGCATGCATTACAATATGGTAAAAATTCAACATATCTAGTAAGACTGATCGCAGTATTACTTGACGTTTTCAAAACGAATGTTGAGGCGTAAGAGGAAAATTATTTAACGACCGAGTGAAAGACCGCGCTATTAGCATTCTGTATACTTTAATTCAACCAGAAATGTCAGTGACTCACGGCACGAATAAATCGTGATCATAGCGAAAGTAATGCCATCGTTATCATCTGCATGATGCCGGCTGCATTCTGTGTCGTACAAATTCTGCAGTGGTGCGGGCATATAATTGCCACACCTTCAAGGTTGACGATCCTCACTAGAAATGACCTACAACGCTTAACAGTCACGTTTCACACTAATAGTACCGCAACTTCCTGCCTAGTCTTTATTTCATTCCCTCACGGTGGCAATGCTTTTACCGTTCAGGCAGAACAACAAAAATTATGCTGAAAATACCTTCCATGTTTGTCCTCAATTTATAAGTTTAAATAAGAAAATCGGGTAACTCTCATCTACCCATGGCATCCTAGTTATAACTTATTATTTTCATGAAGTGTCCCATGGATGTCTCCGTTATACGAGGCGTGTTTTTAAAGTAAGTACCGCGTTTAGCGCACGCGCGTCGTATAGCTACATCTGTTGGGTAGCGACAGACGCCGTTACGGAACCATCCGATCGAGTCTACATCTGTTTGCGTGATTTTAAAATGCCTCCACCGATTGAGAATCCCGCCGCCTGCGAAGTGCGTGCTGTAATACGGTTTCCCTGTGCACAAGGCTTCAAATCAGTTGAAATCCGTCACCAAGTCAGTGAAGTGTATGGTGAAAACATTATGAGTGATGGAATGGTGCGGAAATGGGTTAGGGCCTTTAAAGATGAGGAAGACCTTCAGTCATTACCGATGACCTGATTCAAAAAGTGGACTGTAAAGTGAGAGAGAACAGACGATTCAAGATTCCGTCCTTAGCTGAACAGTTTCCTGCTGTTTCAAGAAGCGTTCTTTACGAATTGTGTCCGAACGTTTAAATTATCGGAAATTGTGTTCACGCTGAGTGCCAAAAATGTAAAGCAGTGGTTGTTTACTCAGGTGGCAAGCTTCTTTGACGATGGCATACAAAAGCTGGTCCCAAGATACGATAAATGCCTCAATCGTAATGGGAATTACGTAGAAAAGTAGAGGAAAGTATGGCCTTTCAAGTGAATAAATCATTTTTGGACAAAATTTACTTGTTGTTTTTTTAGGTCAAAACGGTACTTACTTTAAAAACATGCCTCGTATTATATATATAGTAACATCCTCACATACTACTGTAAGTTAATTTAAATTCATTTTACACTATTGTTGCTACTGTTATCAATGTAATTGCAGCTCCTGATGATGATGCCAAAGACCATTGAAAGCTAGAGAGAATAAAAAAAGTATAAAGAGTCCTCCTTACTTAAATTTTGTCGAAGTACCCAACAAAAGGCGGAAGCTTTAATTTTTCACCTAACTGGTCTAGACGACAATGACCACGTCTCAAGTTATATATGCCAAAAACAAAGTCAAACGGTAAATATATCGTCATTTAATAGGAAATTATTTAACATAATCGTCAGGTGTATGTATCTAACTGTTTTGATTATATGATATTGAATATTTCAGCAGTTGCAACTTGAGAATTTGTCCATTTTTTTCTCATGACAGTCGGCATTCTACCTTTGCAGTGACTAGTAGGCGTATCAGTCTCCTTATTTGAACGCCTAATGCAGGTATAGACTATCAATGATGTGATTCTAATAAAGCTCATATAAACACAGCAAGTTGATATTTTCAGTAATATTTTTTTACGTACAGAGTAACTGTATCGGTAAGATTTAAAATGGTATAGGTATTCGAATAACAACCGTTTGACCAAGTATGTCCAAAGAATTTAAAGTAGGTTCAACTTGGTTTTATGTTTGAATACTAAACAATTTCGGTCATGGGTATCCGTAATTCGCGTTTCAATTACTGTACAAGCTCACGATTCTTAAGTAAATTATAGTCTCGATGCATGTAACATAACGTGGATGTTGTAATACGTATAGTTATTTTTTCATTCGTTGGAGCCGAGAGAGGTCATTATAAAATGTCCCAAGATATTAGTATCTATGATTTGGTTTATGTAAGCTTTCGTCAATGGATGAAATCGAATCTTATAATGATATGAAGAATTGTTCTCCCGTAATGCTTTTTACGTTAAAATAAATTATTTATCCATCCTATATCAAGCATCAAAGAAGTTTTTTCTTCTTACAGATCAGTAAATTTTTGCTATAACTTGTGTATTATCAGCTTTCATAAGAGATTTCAAATGCCATCCTCATTTGTTATTGTTAAAAACTATAGCAGCGCTACTCAGATATTATCCAAAGCAACTTGATTATTATGTTCCAAAAATGTTTTATCATGGTACATATAATGCATCGGAACTTTTAAAAACAAATATCTTGAAAACTAGTAAACACAAGTAAACCTTTTTTGTTGTGGAAATACGAGAAACTAAGATTTTTCGGACAGTTGTTGTATACAGGGAAGCACAAAAAGTTACGATAAGTTATTTACCGAAATAATAGTAAGTGGTGCCATCTAGAA